CCCTGTTTGGCATCCCCACCCTCACTTAACTCTTGACCACAGGGGAATTTTAACAGGGAATAAAGTAAATCCTTTCTCGCTACTGCCAACATAAGAGAGGATTGTTATCCCAGTTCATAAGGGATCAGCTTTTCTCTGTGCATTTTTTCTTTCCTAAAAGAAAGTTGAATATATGAGGAGACTGACTTGCCCCTCCAAAGCTGTTTTGGTGTCTGAACAGGTCATTTAAGCAGAAAGAAAGTTATTTGAAATATCCTGCTCTTTGCTGTTGATGACCATGTTTTTCTGGTATCACTGCTAATCCCTCACATTTGGCAAAACTAGGATTGTTTCCTCACACTATTTCTGGAGATTCCACTCTGGGTCATGGCTGTAAAGGACAGGCTGCAAATTTGGCACTGAGGAGAAAGAGGGTAAAAGAACAGGAATTACAAAAAGACTAGCTCTTATTTCCATCTTCAGAAAAGTGCAGTTTTTCCTAACTTTTGGCACAGGGAAACAGTGTGGCTGGGGCTTTATGCCTAGCCTGAAGTAACAGCTTTAAGTGACTGCTGTTCAATCCAACAGTTAGCTGGTTTTGTGAATAACTTGCAAAGAATCTATGCATGTGCCAGCTCTGCAGGATAATGCCATTGCCTTAAATGGATTAACTCAGGATTTACAGGACTAGGAGCCCAGACACAAGATGCCTGAACACAGGAAGGCACAAAATGAAAACTTCCTCCAAGAAAACTAAAACACTTCCCTCTCTTTTCTCAATTAAAGTAAATAAGTAAATGGAAGAAACCAACCAGATGATGAAAATGCCAACAGAGGAGCTTTACCATTTGTCAGAGCTGTAACTTCTCTCTTAACCAGGTCACACAGCACAAACACTAGCGGTCGCTCCATGAGACTTCCCTTCTCCAAATCCTTTCTCTTGGACATGGAAAGAGCCTCAGGCCCCCCATGTCTGTTATCTCCCATTAGACCAACAAAGTTGCACTCTATGGTTTCACTCTTGCAAGATCTTAACTCCTACAGCGATTGTTTCAGAAACTGCCCCATCCCATACCCTTCCAGCTGCCCTGGCTGCCTCAGCCCTGCTCCACCACCACCAGGTGCCCGTGGCACGGCTGGTGGCCAGCGTGGACCTTTGGCTCTCACATAGCAGCCCTCCAACAGGAAGCACCTGGGTGTTTGCCTTTTATAGAGCAGGTGGAAGCAGGGCTGTTGCTGCTGTAAGTGAAAACACAGCATCCTGCCTCCTGGTGGGAAAGTGTTTTATTCATCAAAAAAGTATTTTCCACCCTGTGGTGTCTTTCAGACCTTTAAACTTGCATCTGCACAAATCACAGAAATTCTTCTGCCATTCTCACAATAAAGTTGAAATACAGAAACCATTTTTAAACTTCAAGATTTGTTGTTTTGGCTTTTTTTTTTTCAAATAAGAGAGAGAACTTCAACCTGATTATACATACTCTCTAAACACAGGGTGCTATTGAGAAGGCAGAATTTCCAGCTCATTAGGGTAAGGCTACAACATTCCCAGTCTGTTTTAGTGGGAAGAACAGAGGGAGCTGGAGCAGCTGAGATGGCTTGACCAAAAGAAATCATCCTACACCACCTGCTTTTTCTGATTCTATTCTAGACTACAGAGAGGGGGATGACAACCTCAAATTTTGGGCATCTCATACTTCTAATTACCCAGAAACAAGTTGTTATGATGGAGCAATGACTGGTAGGAGGTTGGGAGGATGACACAAAGCTAATGAAGTGCAAGTCTTAGGGTGTGGGGAACCAGAGCCAAAGGGTACAGTGCCTTCTTTCATCCACAGCACTCACCATGCATTTCTAGTGCCACTATTTATCGAACTCATTTCATCTCAGAAGAAAGTATTTTCGCTGATGATATGTTCTTACTATAATTCATGAGACTATTATATATAACGACATAACACTTTGCAACATTATCTTTGTAGGATGCAAAAGTTGTGCTCTGGAGGCCAAAAGCAAAGATAACACACTGGGAGAGCTTGAGAGAGTGAAATGTTATGTGGGAGGTGAATGAAAAATGAAGGTGTATTATTTGGACAAGAAACACAATATTGACCCATTAAAACATAAAAAACCTGATAAATGGATTGAAATAGAAAAGTAATGTGATCCAGGGTTTTGCTTGCAGTCAAAGATATCCTCAGCCATGGGTTCCAGCTTTCCTACCACAGGAGAGTGCGTGTATTTGGGGCACTCCATGTGCTTTGCCTGCAGCATTATCATGGATCCACCTCCTCTAGTACACAGAGTTTCTTAGACAATTAAAACAGCTCCCAACTTTCCCCAGCTATTTCAAAGCAGCAATTTTTCCTTCCTAAAACAAATGACAGCCTGAAGCTATGGAGGAATGATACTCAGTTTATAAAGGCAGACAACTTATTTATCACTAATGAAATATCTTCATATCCTGCCACACATTATGTAAGAGTAGAAGAAATATCTGTAGGTATAGAACAGAATAACCACTGACACTCACAGCACTTCAGGCCTTCAGAAGGAAAAGACAATTTTAAAACAACATCCATTTTTGGCAAGGCACAGAGCTTAAAATACCTGGGAAGTAACGTAGTGGTGAACCAAACCAAAAAGCTTCAAGTCATGAAAATGCTTGTGTCACATCTGCCAGCTCCACAGGAAGAAAAAGGGACAAAAATTCCCCAAAGACCTCAAGCTTTTAACAGAGAGCAGGGAGTGTTAATATCCAGTTTCAGCAAAGCTTGAGGACGGAAAAATGCTTGTTCAGAATACTGTGGTATTAACTAGAATAACTCACCCCCTCAGAGTTGTCTGGGTCACTGCAGAAAGCATATCCTTTGGGAGTGCTGGAGTCTGACAATGCTATTCAAATAGATGACAGCACCTGCATTTGGGAAACATACATCATTTCAGGAAAATCAAGGGGAAAAACAACTTTCAAGGTATAAGATACAAATTCTCTATGATATAACACAAGGAACACCCCACGCTTAGCTTGGTTAGGAGTTGTGTGAGTCAAAGTTTGTCAGGCTTGAGCACAAGACTATAAACATTCAACGCCTGTGACTAAACAGAGGAAAAAAGATAGCCCTGCAAACACTGTTTTCTTACTGTGAATAGCTCGTGTTGAATCATTCGCTCAGGCCACATAGAGCTTGCACAAGCTGTCAGAGAACGAGCTAAGCACCACAAATGGCAGCACAAACCTTCGCGGTGAGCTGGGCAAAGCAGTGGGAATGAATGAAACGGGGGCTCCCCCCCCTCCAAGCACACAGAAGCTCGTCTGTTTGGGGGATTCACCACGTCTGTGAGTGTGGGGTGCTGTGCCCACAGAGCTGGTCACCTGCTGGGAGCTCGCATTGAATTGGGTTACATTATAATTGGATTTTCCGAAGGCACTGCATTAGCATTTTCCATGATCTCACCCTTATTAGCCAAATTACTAATCAGGAGTAGCATGGCTATATTGTTTGCTGGTTAAATTATCTGCTGCTGTAGTGTCTGTAAGCCAGCTCCAGATTCATGCAGAGAGAAAAACTCTAACACAGACTCGGGAGTTGATTCTGTAGCTAATGTTGCAGTCAAACCCTAATTTTCAATAGCTCATGAAAAAAGCAATTTCTCTCCAGGGGCAGGTTCAATCCGTGCTTTGCTTGTGTTCTTCCTGAGTCTGTACTACAAGTTAGGAGTGTCAGTTCTTTCAGTGGTGTCAGCAGAAACAGCATCACTCTACGATGTAAAAGCAGAAAAATCCTTTCCCATGGACTGTTCCCCACTGAGTCCAAAATCAAATGCTGAACATGTTTAATCCTGTAAGGTTATTATTTCAATGCACAGGCCTTTGGATATTGAAGGGAATGGAAATACCTGGTCTAAAGGCAGAAGTGACACGGGCAGGCAATTTGTCTTTGCACAGTTCAAAAAGCTGTTTGTGTGGGAATTTCCATCCACATTAAGTACTTCTGAGGCATCAGGAAAGCAGATAGGACATCTCACATGGCCTTATGATACAAAAACCTATTTCTTCTTTCAGGTGGGGTCCTAGCAGGGTTGGGCACCTGTCTCCCAACAACTGCCTCATTAAAAGCTGAGGGAAAGCGACAATCTTGTAAATAGATTATCAAGTAATGTTTGCTGAACATTATGAACCCATTCACCAGAATCTCCTGAAAAAATCTTAACCATCTAAATACAATTTCACTTAAGAAAGGCAGGTTTTATTCTTGGGTTAGAGGTTACATCACCATGTTCAGGTTCATTACAAGAACCATTTGGAAATATAAAGCCATATTCACTGAGAAGTTAAACCCATTAAATATTTCTACTAAAATTCTTCTGATACAAATAGGTGCATACAGCAAAAAAACCCCAAAACCTGTGATTACTTTTTTTTTTTTAATCATTATAGAGGCAAAACAAAAGAAGAGCTGACCTGGACACAAAAAGAGGAAGAAGGCACCTTTGACCCGGCCTGGCATTGGCAATACCTTGCTTACTATTACACAGATGTGTTCAAACAGTGAAGCAGATTTCATTTTTACCAACCAAGAAAAGAGGACAGAGTTGAAGATGATATATCAACAAATCATTCATTAGAATAAAATAAACCCCCCTGTAATTCTCAAACAACAAAAAACATCACAACACTATTGGGCTCTTGAATTCAAACCAGATGTGACAGCCTGAATCCCCAGCAAGAGCAGCATCTTTTCTCTTAAGGCTTTTTCACAGATTCTCATAGGCAGCACAAACAGCATCTTCAGAACAAAGGGCAGTAACGCTTCCCAGCAGAGTTTAACTGGATCCTGAGGATCACTGGCCTGTATGATCTGCTTTTCTATTGTCCTCGCAGGGATTTCACCAGACATAAATCACGTGCACTGAAGAGATAAGGAGCTAGGGGCAAAAACACCCAGTACAAAACAGAATAATGAAGTTGCAAGACTTGCTTGCAGCCTTTGGTTTACACTTCTGCAGGTCGCAGGCTGTCAGCGATGGGCTCCCTTCTCCGAGGGTGAGTCTGCAAGAGCAAATCAATAGGAATTCTTTGGAGATTGAGAAATACAAGTCAGTTATGATTCATTTCCCTCTATTTTGTCACACTTTCACACATACCCCCAGAGCCAATACTGTACGAGACTGTAATCAATCCACTACAAATAGCAGAGAATAGGGATATCATACAAGGCACTCTCAACTCTCATCTAGTCCTGATTGTTGATAAAAAGCAAACAGGAGGGTCTAATGACCTAAAGCTCCTGTAAAATCTTTCTAACTTCTAAAAAGATCAGCTGACGTTCAGTAGTGCTCAGAGGTATACGATAGCACTAGATGCACCCCTGAGAGTGGGTAAGTATGACAGAGGGAGTAATTGGTAGTAGTACCTCCAGCTAAGTAGGTGTCTGTAGTTCGAAAATGTTTTTGATAATCAGTCACTCAAGCTAGGAGAACAAAACAAAATTGAAAGGAAATTTGCTATTGCTGGTGTAACACATACTTCCTGAAGTTTCAAAAGATTTTGGAAGTGCTGTAACACATGCCTAGTAGCACAAGAGCTCACAGTATTCCACTTATGAGAGAAATGCTAAGAGTGAAGTATTTCCAGCAGGGTTTTGAATTTGCCTGGGAGAGCTGCTCTGCAGCTGCTCCATAGTAATCCCACCAGTCACTTCCAGACCCACAGGGCTGATGATATCCCAAATGTATATGAAAGAAGAGCAGATCCAAAAGGGCCACATTTGTGGCAGCACTGTGGAACATCCATTCCTTGCAGGTAGTATCAGAGCTGATACTCAGGCCATTTGTTAACTGCAGCCAGGAAAAGCAGCAATGAGCAGACTGGTTATTTATGCGTTCATTTAATTTTATGCAAATAGCCACCTATAACAATCAAGATTGTGGAACAAAACCTTTCTAGCAAGAAATATGCTTTCAAGCTCTTGATTCTTCCCTGGGTTTCATTCTCAAAGGAGAAAAACATTGCCAGTGTGTGAAGCCATTTAAAGTCTAACAGGTACTGTATGATAAATCCTGGTATGTTGCTTCAGAGAAATAAAATTATCAAATCATGCAGCTATTTAAATTACATATCCTGTTCCTCCTCACATGAGATTTTTCTCCCTGATACTCTGAAAAACACATTTTGTGCTGTTTTGCTCAAGTGAACTTTTAAAAGCATTGCATTTCCAAACAGGCAGCTTCTCATGTTCTGGAGTTGGACATCAAGGTGTGCTAATAGTCCTTTTTGTTGCATTACAGTAGCAGAAATCAAGTTGTATCAGTAAAAATCCTGGAAATAATCACATTTTAATTCCCAATGGGGATGGCAAGTGGCTAATTAAATCTGTCTTGACTTCTTGGGAGCACTGATAATTTCTAATGTAATGTATGCACAGAGGACAGGCTAATACCAAAAATATTTAGGGTCTGGGATTTCTTCCAGGAAAATTAAGATGTCAATTAATTGACTTTTTTTTCTGTCTGGTTTTCATTGAAGACCTCCACAAATCCATTTTTCATTTTTTCCCCCTCTCCCTACAGATGTCATTATTTTCAGTGGAAAATGCCACACTTCTCCCTCCTCTTCTTCCAATTAGCTGTAATTATAACAACATTAGCAGCAAATTAGGTACCTTGAGGGCAAAAATCTGGAAAGCAGCAGAGTGTGGAAAGGAACAGGAGATGAGATTTTAATGGAAGTAAGCACATACACATCATGCCTCTTCATGTGCTCATCTGGGCATCCTTAGGGCTTTTCAGGTTGTTTTCTGCTTTGCCTAAGTGTGCCAAAATGAGGCAGTGACCAGCTGCTCTCTCCTGTCCTCCAGAACTACCCCTTGAACTGAGAGGTAAGCAAAGAGCTCCATTTTGGATTGTCCTTGTGCCTGGCATAACTGAATCCAACACAAAACCATCCAGCTTAGATCAAAGAAATCCAGTAGTTATATCTGATGTTCAGAAGGGGTAACTGGGGTCCCAAAATACATGTACTGAGGATGTTTCTGCCAAATAAACAAACACAGAAAGTTGAATTTTGGAAGTGGAAAAGGCAGCACATGCCAGCAGTTGCAGCGTGCAAAAGGGTTCTTGTTCAGAGCAGGCTTTGAGCAATAAACCTCTTTTCCAGAGAATTTTTCATTAAAAAACTGGGTTCAGGGAAAATCTCCAAAATCAAGCTTGTTTTTTTTTTTTTCAACTGTCTTTTCAATTCTGCACAGTTGGATAAGGGACGAAGTCAACACTGCTTGCCAAATAAAGTGACATTAAGTACATTTGCTGGAAATCTTTCTGCCTTGATCCTTGAAAATAAATAAAAAATCCCAAATCACCCACAAAACCCACACAAGCAAGAACAGCAAGATGGGAAACTGGTATGAGGAACACTGAGTGACAGGGCACAGAGAGACTTAGGAGCTAATGTCCCTCCCTCCAGAGGCAGCATTTCTGGTCAAAGAAGGCTAAGCTGGAAGAATTTAAGCACAGTTGAGGACTAGACTTCCTGCACAGCAAAGTACCTGGGGAGAGACCAGCCCAGAGCTGGGCAGGAAGAGCTATTCTCTTGGAATACAATGCCAGTGCAGCAAGAAAACATCTCTTATCATCTTCTTCCTTAACCTCTTCTCATTTCCTATCACTTACCTTTCCTCTTTATTTGGACCTTCAAGGAAACATCTTTGCCTTTTTTGGAATCCTAATGATTGCCCCGATCCTGCTTGGTGGATTGGCAGTTGCCTTGTGAGAAAGTACCTGAGTGGTCTCTACCTGCGGCCTGATCTCCACTGCATCCCACCTATGGAGCACAGCTGGGCACAAAATGTTCCTACCCATCTTCTTGCCCTGCTTGCTTTCAGCTGGACTATTTCATGTTTAGGAAGATATGGAGAAGAATTCCTTATGTTCATAGACAAGACGAACTCTGGTGTGAGTTATTTGAGGTTTTAAGCAGTTCCACAGGGAGGTGCAACACGGAACTTTCTGGATACAAACAAATGGGCATAAAATGCTAGCAAAATCATTCAAATAAAATTAACTAAACTCCCTAAAGCCAGAGGCATGTTTTTTAAAACAAGCTGAATGGCTTTATGCAGCCAGGGGATCATCATCATCTGGTTAAAGAAGGCAATTAAAGAATAACTATGGGCAACTGTGGACAAATAGTAAAAAAAAAAAAAAGATCAAATTATTTCAATCTTGATTACTGAATCAAGGCCAAGTCTTACCCCACAGAATCCCTTCCTGGATGCCAGAATGTCTACATAGAGCCAGTAGTTTTTATTTTACTTATTTAGGTGTGCAGAGAAGTAAAAATGTTAAGTGTAAGCAAACACACACACCAGGATTGCTAGTTGTGTTTGGTCACCTCCACATGCACACACATTCCTAGCATGACATTTCCATGCTCTACATGCACTAAGGTAGGGATCCAGATACTTGAGCACACTGTGCTCTGCACTCTGTTCAAGGGCATGCTGGTGTGATTTCAAGGCTGAGGACAGGTCTCCAAGCCACAGCCAGCCTGCGACAGCTCTGGGAATCACTCATCTCCCCATAGAGCCACCTCAGCCTTATGTGCCACCAGGGCTACAAGATCCTTCTCTTCATCCAGATTCCTAACTGGTCTATAGATACTTAGGTGTAAAATAGCGAGGTAGATCACTGAAACTAACTCCTTATGCTCTTTTCTGTAGGATTAAATCCTTACATGGCCCCTAGACACTCTAGCTGCAAAATACAGAGAGACACACACTACTTCGCCAACAAGAAGTGTAGGGTGGCTCTGAGGTGTTTTAGTCAAAGAACCAAGGGCTACTTAGCATATTGCTAAAT